GTTAACATAAAATGCGAAAAAATATGTTAACTACGATTTTGTAAATGATTAATTTGTTTATGCATGACATATAATCAATGATCACTATTTTAATCACATAACAAAAAGTTTAACTTTGATTTAAATTAATCACACTGTAACTAATAATCTTAGGCAATGTATGCATTTCAGTGACATTTTTAAAACGATGATGATATAGTATGCCTGGAAAAAGTTACGTCTACTAGATTGTTGAAGATAATTATGGAAAAATATTATAATGTATATTGTTTCCAAGTGCACGAATAATGAAATAGCTTACGTAGTTTTTTTTCTAGAGAAATATTTACTATCATCCCCAGAGTAAATGTCTTGGTACACGCGTCACCGATCACTGCTTACATTACATGTTGATAAACTTTTGTGTATTAAATAGGATTGCATTGTTTGCATAATTTTAATTTTGTTTATTTCATAAACCCTATTAAATCAAGCGGAATGGATACAATAGGTACATATAGTCGTGTGCATTGTACTTAAAAATATAAATTAAAGCATTAAGTGTACAAAAATTATTTTTTAGGTCTCGTTTTATAAAATATTATCGCAAATCATTTTTTTTTTTTTTTTTTACTGAAGTACATGTAGAATAATCTATTTTTTTATGATTTTATTACAGATTATAGTCATATGTACTGTAGGATGATATAACAACTTCAGAATACTAAACCCGTATATGAGATATGTGATGATAACGTTAATAACCATTTATAATTTGAATGGAAAATTGATTAAAATTCAAACCGCTGATTCTGTAATCGGATTTGGATTGACGCGTGTTTAACCATTGTGTTCAGACAATTCGCAATGTGGTTTATTCAACGTATTCTGCATTTTCGCTCTTATTTTGAAATGCGTTTGCAGTTAATAGTAATAATAATAATGATTAGTCATTATAACGTGTCTGATCGCAATAGTTAAGGGTTTGGTCATAGCCAGACCAAACACATGGCACGGGAAATTGGACACACATACATATCGTAGACATTTAACTTACATCTCAACGAATGACGACGTAGATATTTCGTAAGACAATAATATTTTTGCCACTGTATATATTTTTTTTAAAACGAAACATTTGCGGTTAAATGAGACGACGATGCACCGTCAAATGCCCACTGGATTATTTCTTTTCGGATTAACGTTACCGACTGTAATTAAATGTTCTCAATATGATGTACATGAACACATATCAACATTGTACTTAACACGTATGTCTATTGTGGTCATATAATTTTCCGAAAATTTTTCCGAAAAATTTCCGATAAATTTTTATTATTATTATTTTTGTACGGGAAAACATTTTTATTGAGTATTGATGTATTACATTACACATGAAAAAAAAAACATCATTTTTCTGGAAATGTGTTTTGGACTAGAGGACTTGGAAAAGTTACGTTTTTACCCTAGCACAGAGTGTACACAAATGTTATTATGAACTACGTTCGAATATTCACACGTTTAACATAATATTATACGATTTTCATTACATATTATCAAAGAATTTCATTGTTTTATATTTAGTACTTACTCTCGTTGATGTTATCTTTTGAATTTAATGAATATTACTTGAGCATTATTATACAGAATACGTTTACCATAGGTTAGGTTTTACTCTAATATATACAGTATTATAGTTTTACTTTATATATTATTTATTCTGAAATAATATCTAGTAAAAAATTCAGCTGAAAAAAATAAATACTAATGTATTTATACTGTACATTAACCATGATTTATATAATAGGCACCTTCTCTTCTTGTTTACCTTGAAACGTTATAACTGTCGTTATATACTATACTGCTTACTGTATATTATTATATTGATATATTTTCAACTGGAGAATATTTATTCAATTTTTTTAAATTTTCGATATCATTTATTATGTTTTTATACTTTTTATTAATTTATTATGTTTATAAATTATTAAATTATGTGTAATAAATACGTAATTTTCCATGGGATCTCATTTTATTTTCGATTTGTCAAGATTTTATTTATACGTGTAAAGCGTTCACTTACAAAAATATTATAAATAAATACCTTTTTAACATTTATAATTTGTAAAATTATGTCATTTTTAAGTTTTTTTATATTTTGCAACAAATTTTTTTCTTATCAATATGGTTCGAAATAATATGACTGAAATACAACAAAAGTAAACATGTTTAAGCAATAAAATGATAATTTACAGTGTGTACAGATAATAAACCTCTTCACTCGAATCGTTGAATTAGCAAGTTCATTCATTTTAAAAATACGTTTAGTAAATGTTGAACATTTTTTACAAATTTTGTAAAAACATTCTACACTGATATTGATCAAAATTGTTGGTAAGCAGATACAATTGAAGTAGAAATTTATCGCTTATATTCTTATAATTCATCCTAAATAAACTGAGTTTCAACAGCTTTTATAACAGTTTTATATAACGGAATAGATTTTATAATATTAAATTCTTATGAAAATTATTACAATTAATTGATTATATTTAAAATTATTTATTTATAGGTAGGTACATGTTATATATTTTAAAGCTAATACATACATACTATTGGATTTAATTTTAAAAGTATTTTGATGATTAGAAACTATGCTTGTGACATATTTAATTTTTTAGACATCGAATGAGGCTTAATACCGGGCCAATTGAAACAGTAAATTGAACGCATAGTAATTAAAGTTTTAATTAAGTAATTAAAACGACATTTATTCCCATGCGTTAGCATTTTAATTTTAAGTTATTTCTAGTAGTAACATTTTTAATGAGCAATATTTGGAGTATGTAACTATTATGTACAAAAATGTAAGTACACAGAAATAGAAAGTTTCTTATATTTTTTAATCGAAAAAATATCGATATAAATTGATTATATCTTTGAAATTTTTTAAATAAATTAACACTTCGTATATATTTATTTGTTATTTTTTCGCTTAGTGTAACACGTAAATTAAAAAAAAAAAAAACATACAACTACAACCTATCTTCTTGTTCATCACAAAATCTGTCAAAGCATTTCGTGTGTGGACTCCTAAAGTAAAATTATTAACGTGCATATTTTAATTTAGAAGTTCTAGGAGACGCAATTTAAGATGAATATACGCGAAATAATATAATTTGTTGATTGTTTGAGCAATTTTGAATTTTTAGTATTTCGCCAAATATCTGTTTAATTGATGCAGCTTAATAACATAAGAAGCCAAAGAACTGAAATAAATCCCTAGATGAAACTAACAAATTTTATAAGAAATATAAATATAAAAATTAATTTTTATTGAGAATTTATACGTATAACGAAACATCGAAACATAAACTAACCCATCAGCCTTAATAATTTTTTAATGGATTTTTTTTTGTTGAAAAAATTTGTAAAGGCAAATATAATTGCACTTATTTTTTCTCTCTATTCATTATACGTAGCGTGTGATGTATGTATGTATATATATATCATATTCTGTTAAGTTTTGTGCAATCGTTGTAAATATTCACCGAGGTATTCGACCATTAAATGTTAGCATTCATTATTATTTATTACACACGCACATATGTATATACATGCATGTGTGTGTTTCAACAAAAGTACTTAAGAGGACGAAATACACTAGTAATTTAAGTGTAAAATACGTTAAACGCGGGTCAAAACCATTCAGTAGTTAATAGTATTATAATAGAGGCTCATTTTTGTTTTTATTTTGACTAGAAGAACATTATTTGTGATGTAACGTTTTTATTACTCGCTAACACACATTTACCGCGGTTACATGCACAGTTAAAACCGATTTAACTCAATTCGAATTAGTTAACTCCTGGAGTTAAATGCATGTAAACGACTGTTAATTCAGTTTTATACCAATTCGGTTTACCTAAAACGGTTTAGTTAATTCACATTTGAAATGCGCATTGGAAATAACTACGGGAGTTCAAAATGCATATAAACGGATGATACTACAACAACCGAATCAGGATTGCGGTAATTTGTTGTGATAAGGTTGTTGTTTTAAATTCATTCGTAGTAATTCCATCATTTGTAACAATTGTAAATAGTTAGAAGAAGACATACTTCATAGAATTTTACAAAATTCTACACATTAAACAATAAAACAAAGTTCTAAAAATTTTTTACTTTAACGTCTTTAATTAATAACTATTAATAATAAATATTAAATTATAATAATATTATCACATAATTGTTATCAATAGAATATCACTGAATAAATTGGAGGGAAAAAATGAAATTATTAATTCGAATATTAAGGTAAATCGGTTTAAACTGTGCATGTAAACGTTGCCACGTAAACTGGTTTGGTGGAAGTGTATTATCCTAATACGGTATTACTATAGTATGTATACTTGTGACCTAATTCGAATTGATTCAATACGAATCAAATTAATACGAATTAATGGATGCATGTAAACGTAGTAATTGATTTTAAATTATTTGTTGACATAAACTATTATATTAATAACTTTTTTTTTAGCTATAAAATATTATTTAAATCCGTTATCGAAAAAATAAAAACGCAGCTCCATAGATAATTTTTTTATTTTTTATTTTTTAAAAATAAGCTCTTCTATAAATTATTTATATGCATTTATACGAATGGTTTTGTTCCGTGTAATATGTTTTTTCTGTCTTAAAATCGTATAAAAATTTATTTTATTTTATTTATAGCTCTATAGCAGTGGTTCCCAAACGTTTTCCCATCGCGGCACATTATTATTAGTTTTTATAAGTCACGGCACACTTTGAATAAATATTATCTACTTATCGAATAATAGGTATATAATGATCGTTATTAGGTAATAATATTATTATCTCTCGATACCGTTTTCTCGATTACGTTCAAACCACACCACGACAAGCCTAAATTTTATTGAATTTTTGCAACGTTTGTTTTATAATAACTATGGATAAATTTTTAAATATAAAAAGAAAGCTTAACGATTACGATGAAAATAATGGCGATAATAAAAAAAAAAAAAAAAACGAAAGTTACTGAAACCATCAAATCTGGTACACAATCTTCTAGTGCAAGCCGTAAGTACCATGATAATTATTTAAATTTTAGTTTCACTTTCTGTGGATCAGAAACTATTTCTATTCCTCAATGTTTGGTATGTGGAGAAAAACTTAGGAACGAATGTATGGTACCTAGTAAATTAAAAAGGCATTTTACTACTAAACACGGACATTTGTTAAATAAAGACAAAACTTATTTTAGCCGCTTATTATCATCAAATGTAAAACAATCAAAACAATTGGAAAAACTTACAAATATATCCGATAAAGCTCAGATTGCTAGTTATAAAGTTACTGAATTAATAGTTAAAAAAAATGCAGCCTCACACTATAGCTGAAAATTTAATATTACCAGCTTGCAAAGAAATTGTAAAATCAATGTTAGGTGAGAGTGCTGAGAAGGAAGTTTCTCGTGTTCCATTATCAAATAACACAATATCTCGACGAATTGACGATATGTCTTCCGACATTCAAAAACACGTTTCTGAAATTTTATGTGATGGCCGAAAAATTTCATTACAAATTGACGAATCGACCGATATTAGTCAAAAATGTCAATTATTAAGTTGTATACGATTTATTGAAAACAATGAGGCTATTGAACAATTTTTATCTTGTACTGAATTACTAACAACATCAACCGGGCAAGATATATATAATTGTGTCAGTGATAATCTAAAAAAAAATGAACTGTTATGGATAAATTGTATTTCCGTATGCACAGATGGAGCTCCTGCAATGACTGGCAAATTTAAAGGCTTTGTTTCGAGATTAAAAACAAGATTTTCCAAATATTATTTCAACCCATTGTTTTATACATCGTGAAGCTTTTATGATTAAATCGATTCCAGATGAGCTTAAAAATGTTCTTGATTTGATAATTAAAATGGTAAATTATACGAAATCAAGAGCTCTTAAAACACGAATTCTCAAAAAAATATGTGAAGAAGCTGGTTCTCGTTATGAAATTTTAGTTTTACATACTGAAATTCGATGGTTATCAAAAGGTAAGGTTTTAAACAGATTTTATGAAATGAAAAATGAATTGTTGCAATTGTTCAATAATGAAGACCCAAACAGCGATTTCGTAACTCAGTTAAATAATCCATTATGGTCTGCAAAACTTGCTTATCTAGCTGATATTTTTAACCATTTAAGTATCCTTAATTCCAATATGCAAGGTAAAGATGAAAACATACATGTATTAATGTATTCATGTATTAACATCGTCTGATAAATTAAATGGGTTTTACGGAAAATTAATCTTTGGATATCACACGTAGAAAAAAAATAACTGCAAATGTTTCCATTAACAACAGATGTTGATCCAGATGGAGAAGTAACATCTGATTTGATAATAAATCATCTTATAATTTTAAAAGAAAAAATGACAAAATATTTCCCATCTTTGGTTATTAACGAATATGATTGGGTGCGCAATCCTTTTGCTGTAACATCAGATGTAATATCACATCTAGAATTAGTTGAACAAGAACAACTTTTAGAACTTCAATCTGATCGTTCATTGAAATTAAAATTTAATGAACTTAAACTGTTTCAGTTTTGGAGTTTTATTAAAACTGAGTATCCGATAATTACAGAAATTGCAATAAATATATTATTACCATTTTCTACAACATATCTCTGTGAACTTGGGTTTTCTGCACTAACAAATATTAAAAATAAGAAACGTGAACAACTTTTATCAGTTGAACAAGAAATGCGAGTGTGTTTATCGTCGATCCCTCCTAGAACTGAACTATTATGCAAACAACATCAAGCACACGTTTCACACCAAAATTTATAATTATATATTTTTTTTTGTAATTTTTAAGTTAATTTTTGTATTAATTATTTTTATTTGTATTATATAATTTAATATTTTGAAAAAAAATCATTTTATGTTTTTTTATAAAAAAAAAGTTCAAGTTGTCGCGGCACACCTTTCAAATTTCACGGCACACTAGTGTGCCGCGGCACATCCTTTGGGAAACACTGCTCTATAGACACGATTACGATTACGCATTACGCGCTTGTATGAATGTTCCCCTATGGTAGCTCCTTCTGTCGTCGATCTATGAACCTTAAGCCCTTGGCACACTTCGGGTATCACGTCCTCTTAGTAATTTACCATATATCTTTTTACCTATTTGATATGGATGGTATAGTAATTTAAAATCGAACAGTTTTATTACAACTAATTATATTTTTAATATAATATGAAACTCTGATTTATTCAATTGGACATCAATTATTGTGATTCTTTGAAATATCGTTTAAATAGACGGTATTGTATTCATAAGGCTTAACTTAAAATTATATACTTAAACGTATTTATTATATAAGTTCCGGTACAATTTTATTTTTATAAACTAAATTCATTCAAATTAGTAAATTTTTTTTCTCTGTGAAGACTTAAATTACCACGTTTATAAAATTATTACAAATTGTTAGATCGTAATTATTTAAATACATTTCTAAATACAACAAGTTCTTTATATATTAACTTGATTTAAAAACTAAATTAATTTTGAATGTGATATTTATTACTGATTATTAATTATACTTTTATACCAAATTCATAATGCAAAATGCAAATATTGATGTATAAAAACAAATAGGTGTTGCGTATTTCACATAAATTTTCGTTTTTTGGGTACATTTGTCATTTTTAGATTTCAAATAAGTGTTCATATTACTGACATAAATTATGAGTATTAGTTCTATCCAAGATTAATCGTATTTTTCTGCCTTTCGGAGAAATAAATTTAATATTGTAATAACTAATTTATGTATTTTCATCAACACGTACTTGGTTAGTACAAGGTTATTCATCGGTTTTATGGTAATAAATCAATGATGTCTATTTAATAAATAATTATTTTGAAATTGTATTATATTTTTTTAATACACTTATAATATTTCTAAAGGTTTAAACATTTATTAATTTCAATGGTTTTTTATAATCCTTGTAATTGAGTAATTATTATACCATTTATTATTTTAAATTATACCTTTTTAATCGCATAGAAGTGTTTTACTATAAATTTGTTTCAACAGTTTCTTGCAATACTATTATGTTATTTTGTTTGTTTTGCTTATTACAAATATCATAAGTCTTATCAGATATTTTTACTTAGTAATTACATCATGTATACATTGTATATATGATATGTATACTATAAACATTACGGTGGACCGCGGTGCAAAAGTCATAAAACTACAATAATAATATTGTGCATTTGTGTGTTACAAATGAGTTATTATTATGAGACTTTCGTGAAAAAATATTTTTTTAAATTTTAAACTCGATTTTAAAATGGCCACGCAAAGAAAATTTATGCATGTAGCTCAACAACTATTAAAAATATTAAAATAATTATAACTTGTTTAAAAAAAAAGAAAAAATCTTAATGAATTGCATATAACCAACAACGTTGTTCAATCTGGAAGTATTCAAAATTCGTTTACTCTGGTCGATCGACTGTCTTACGTAATAAACAAACATAATTCATGAATTTTGTCCGGCGTGTTATATCCGTAACGATTTGACGTAAGTAATTTGCAATTAAATCAGGTGATAATGGTCAATTATGTATTGGAAAACACTCGATCAACTACATTTTTTCGTATACCAAAAGTAGGATTGTTTCTGAAATTATTACAAACAAGTTATGTATATTTCCGATAGTATTCGAACTGTTTGAAATTCTTCATTTGAAAAACAAAAAAAAACACAATACACATAACAATAATATTCATAACGAACCGAATAAAACACGATGTTTATCGGCTACATGTGTTACGACGAATTAATTCCATGCGTATTTATTTTCCGTTCGAAGTGCACGGTCTTGCAGCTGAAATCTAATAGTAAAACCCGAAATCATTTAAATTTAATTTTACGCTCGCACTCAACCAGCAGAGTTTCGACGGATTCCTTTGTCTCACGACACTGAGCCAAGTGTAATAACGTATGCATCGTGTACAGCCGTACAGGTATATTGGTGTACAGGCTACGCATAAGAATTCGTTCTCGCTAATCTTGACCGTTCTCGAATACCTGCGGCACGGAACACGCGTGTATACTATTACGTTGTATTATAATACTATTGGAATCCGAAATGATAATCCGATGGTACCGTACGTACATTATTATTTTATTTTATGTTACGTTTTTGGTCCCGTTACTTAAGTGCATTCGCACGGCGGCTCTTGCGGACAAGAACAGTGTTTCGTTTTATTTACGTCGCACGTGGACCGGATAGGTACCACGGTAAAGGAAAAAAATAAGATAAAACGTTTTCGGTGCTGACCGCGTTTCGAACGACCGCTGCAAGACGAGACATCGCGGTCCGTTTGCGACGACGAAGAACGCCTACATCGATCGTCCGGAAAACCTGTTGAAAAAAATACCGTCGTACGAATAACAACGATAATTTCGCGGGGGGAAATAAAATCGACTGTAACTGTTCGTTTATTAGGTTATTTATTTTCGTTTTGTATTTGTTTTCGCGTTCTACCGTTGCGCCCAGAGCCGGGCAGCAGCACGCCGGCCGATAGATGGCGCTACGTCGTCCACAGTCTCCCTGACGCCCGCCCGCCCGTTCCCGCACATAGACCGTGCAAGCGTAACCGACTACAACACCGCGTCAACCACGCAGCGACTGATCGAGCAGAGCCAGTACGGCCACCGTCCAGGTTATAACTGGTTTTTGTTTTTTTTATTCTACGTTCTCGCGTAGATAATCATTCGTTTCTTTTTTTTTTATTCTCGCGTGCGCACCCGTACGTTTGTCCCGCCGTCAAGAATACCGATCGATCCGTCGGCGTGCACCAAACAACAATCGTCCGTCCTGAGCCAGCTGCCACCGCGAAACGTTCATCGTCGCGGTTACAAATACGGTTACCGTTCAGCAGTAGCAGCCGCGGTCGACGTTTACCCGTGTGCTCGAGGAGCCGGGTGGCGGTGCTAACAACTGCGTGATTTGGCATTATCATCCGGTTTCACATTATTTCGCGTTCGTACACTTGTTGCGTCGGCTGTGCGGGTTTTCGTGACAAAGACGAATCTCGTTCACGACGACGGCGACAACGATCGTGTAAATCTTGTTTTCGCGCTATGTGTTTCGCGGTAGTTGCAATGACGACGGCGACGACGGCCGTGCCGACTGCGGGTCGCCGGTAAACGAGTGTGTGGCAAACGAGTAAGCGCTCGCGCGCGGCCATCGGTCGGCGGATTTCCTACGTACGTTCCGTCGCCACAACCATCGCCATTCGGTCTTTCGGCGGAATGCTGTGCGCCGAAGAGCAGATCGGTGGCGTTGATGGGTTGGACGCGTCCGCGTTTAAGTCACCCATCCGCAGGCTCGGGTCCACGAGGAAGATACTGTATTTCAATAGTGAGTACGATACCTAGTTACGATTTTTATACGTTTTACGGAACTATATGTGCACATAGACGGATGCCGTTGTTATGCCAATTATTGTGTGCTGGAACTTGCGTAAAACCGTATGTGCGTTTCGTATTTGTACTTCCTGGAATGTCTCGCTCAGGTGACGTAGGTTTTTTCATTTTTGTTTTGGTATATGAATGTTTTGAAAAGGGAAAAGTTAAAACCCAGTCATCGTTAGGAAACATTCACAGTTGACTTTGTAGATTAAAAATGTTTACCGGTGAAGCTACTGCACAGCACCTACTTTTTTTCAACCGAAAACGTTGAATAATTATCGCAACAAAGTTATATGTGAGTGCGTCCTCAAACACCCGCTACTTGCTACGTAGACCGGAACGTGTAGTCGAAAATGATTTCTTTAGCGACCGTTTGTTGTCGTATCGTTATCACTGCAGACTTTGATGATACGGTCTTTCTTCGAAATACATATTATTATATATTTGATTTCCCGTTAATGTTGTCTTCGAGTAACGTGTACGATAATTGTAAATTATAAATTGTTTTCTTTTGAAAGTTTATTGGAAAAACACGATATCGTCCTAGTGGTAATGGTTGAGTGAATTTTCGATGATAAACGTCGAGTATTGGATTTTAACTGGAGAAAGTAGCGTTCGATCACGGTTTTTTTTAAAAAAAAAAACAATAATGAGATGCTCTAAAGGATTGAAACTGGAGAATTATTAACTTGATGAGTTGCGCACGACCTGAGGTTGTGAGAAAATACATTTGGATCAGATAGATCGAACCATGAGCAAAAACAAGAAAACAGTAAATTCAAGTTATTTTATATTTGACCGCAAGTCGATTTATTTTCATAAAGTATTGTACCTTACTTACGTCCATAACAGATATGGAGATGAAAATATGATTGCATATTTATTGACCAATATTTATTACAATAGTTACAACTGGTATTGAGCGAGTAAAAATGTGTGTACATTAAAAAATATATCATAAGACGCATGGACAAGTGTCAACGATGGTGTGAAATGTGAGTTTCGAAAAATCTGGAAGTGAAAGTAAGTTTTCGTCAGGGATTATTAAAATGCATTATTTTTTTGTGAGTATATCTTAATACTTAAATTACTTCGGTAATTATGACCTTTGGATCTTTTGATGTTTGATTTATTAGTATAAAGTATGTCTACCTAAACTCGTCTTGTAGTGTATCTAAGAGTAACGTATGAATGCACTTGAAGATTTTACTTTTAAGTTACTAAACATTTCCAAAATGTAAGACATAATTATGTGTATATGCATATTACATTATATGCGAGATTATATGTATTCGAATATCTTGCCAAGTACTTTGTACAGAAAAACTAAAATGTATTTTAAGTATCATGTTTGTATTGTAACCTTTTTATATCATTATAACAATATTATTAAACAACATTAAAAATATTGAATTCATTATAAAAAAAAGTAACTCGTATCGAAAATGTATAGAATATTGAATTAATAAATACATTTTGTATATTTTTATTTTATAGATACATTTTTGATTAATATCGTATGTGATTACAACAATATTTGAGTAAATAGTAAATATAGGATTTTATATTTTTTATAATTTTAATTCTTATTGAAATTAATTATTCAGATTATTAATTAGTTATGCATTTATAATGTTTGGTAATATAAAATAATTACATTTTAAAATATTTATTTTTATTTTTATCTTTAGATGACTGATTTGCTTAAAGCGGTTATTATGATTACATAAATGATAAATTTTATTAATTAGTTGTTTGTTAATAAATGCCATTAAAATTATATATATAATTAACTAATTCAGTGGTTTATAATATTATTATCATAAAATATAAAAATAAGTAATACAAAAGTAATAGGACGGTTATTAACAAATTTTATTATTCTCATGTCTTACCATTTCCCTATGAAATGCTAGACATTTTAAAAGATGAATAAAATTATCACAATAAAATATAAAATGGTTGACTATTGCGTATTTGAAAATTCAAACTATAGGTGCCAGTTGAACAAATTATCTTTTTATTTTATATTTTAACCATATCATGATATTTTGATTTTGTATTTTAATTAGGTATCAAAATCGTTATTGTAATCGTCATACGTGTTATTTTCAAACTTCTAGAAACTTTAGAAATGTATTTCTTAAATGAACACCTTATACCCTATTTTATTAGAATGCATATGTGTAATATAACAACTTCCGTTTATTAATATTATAGTTTTGTAGACAACGAATGTAATATATTTGTATATATATAACAACGTGTTCATGTATAATCATAACATTAATACAAAACTAATCGTATTTTTGGTCCAAACATACAAATACAAACCTCATATGGTAACATGCAAAGTAACGTATTGTTGTTTTGAAAGAAATATTAATTTTTATGATAAGATTTTATTTTGCCTCTCATTGTGGAAAACCAATGCAGCCACAAAACGTATCTTTTTAAAAATATCTATTCATGTAGACATCATAAAAGAATGTTTATTATAGCCGAATAGACCTAGAGGGTTGCTATTGTTAAGACATTGACAATAGGGAGGATCGTGAAAGATTTTTATCTAAACATCTTGACACTGCTTGCATACCATACAGATGCCCATATGTAATGATAAAGTCGGGTATAAAATTCAGTTTAAATTGTTTCCGACATTCAAGGGATCATTCCATATTATTTCATATTACGGTTGACGTAGTATGTACTACGCTGAATCACTGAAAGCTTAATCTATTGAACAATAAAAATGATAAAATGTCTGTAGGTAAATGACATTTTGACAGATAGAGTTAATTTATGTATCGAAAGCTAAATTTAAAAATATTATTTTGTTTTCATTAATAATATGAGCATTTATGATTATGCTTAAATTCAATTTTCATTGAAAATTAAAATGATCTCGCCTAACAATATTATTTGTAGAAACATTATAATAGTTAACTTATCTTTGTATTTCATCTTTATAATTTACTTTATATTCATTATATTCCGTTTGGTATATTTGTTTCAAGAGATATTTTAAGGGATGGTGATCTAAGGGATTTTTCTAGGGTCAGATGGTAGTCTCAAAATCAATGAAATTAAATAGCCAACGACTAGTGAGTTATCTTTTCTTATTTATTGTTGGTTTAAAACGTTTAAGGCTATCGAAATCGCCATTTAACTTATTATTATGACTATGATGTATTGTAGTAGTTATGCCAATACTCGTGTCAATGTATTGTAGTGCGAGCAAAAAAAAAAAAAACACCATTTTCATGTATAAATAATGATAAAATATCGTGTGACTATACTTTATTCAAAATTCGTTGTTACGGACTTAGTACTAGGAAGTTCAGCTGTCAGCTGTAAAATTTAATGTAACCATAAAAGATGAAAATATCTATAGGCCTGTGTGTTTTTTTTTTTTTGCATCACGTTGGTGGGCAGATGTTCTTATCCTTTCTCTATGAAACGACCACTACCATTGGTTTACCATATGGCTCTGTAATATATTTGAAAACTAATTAATCATTTCAAACAGTTAAATGCTTGTTGTTTCCTGATATTATTCGACTAACTGTATGAGTATGTAATACAATTGGATTACCAGTAATTGTGGTAAACACATAATATTAAGTGGGATATATTTGAAATATGTACCAATAAATAAATATGTTTAACCAGTTTATGTATTAACATAAAAATATGCTGTTTATATAATGTGTACAGTTATTTTAAATGTTGTCATATTTATGTCATTCTTTACATTACATAATACTCGGCTTATATACATTATTTTTTTGATGTTTTATCTATTAAATAAAAAAAAAAGTACAATTTTTTTAAAATCTTTATATGTACTTGTTATGTTCATGCGTATCATATACATTATGAGGCATAATTATTTTATAAATAGTATTTTCATAAGTAAAATCAAATCTTATTATTCGTAATAAGATTTTTTTAAATCCAGCAGTCATAATTTTCTATTATATTTGGATAATAGGATGCTTATTATAAAAAAAAGTAATTTTTTTACTATATATCTACAACATCTACGTCTATATATTCTTAGCTGTATTTAAGACATGCATGAAACATGGATTGTATTCATCTTTTAGTAAACTAAAACTTACAAAATATTAATAAAATAACACTAATATTTTATTTTAAGCATTTAATATACATCATATAGATAAATATTATAATGAAATATTTGAAAAAATCATATTATACCTAAATTTAACTAATTTGAAAAATAGCAAAATTTATTGTACTGAGTATAACCCACATTGTATTGGGAATAAATATATTTATTCAATAATAATAATAATAATAATGTAATACTAATAATCATTAATTATTTATATTTCTGTAAGTTATAAATGCATTATATATAACTTACCAGTTATTTATATTTTTGCTTTTAAAATTTAATATTTTGATTACTAAAAATATTGAACAATTAGAATTATTATAAAGTATAATATTTCTATAATTATAAAATAATTATAAAATATATTATCGGAATACCTCAATATCATTATCATGGCAACAATAATTACTTATATGTTTAAGGATTTTGTTTTATTTTGTTGAATAAAATAATAGTTAAATTAAAATATAGAAGTTCTTAACTTCTGAAAATGACTTGTGAATAACATACCATAGGTATTAAGTGAGGTATTAAATATAGTGGTATGGGAATATATAAGATAGATTAAAATTGTTTATTTTATATGTATTTTTATAATTATTTTATAACATAAATTACATACAATAAAACTTATATGCTACACTTAAAACGTTGTAGGTTATATTACCTATTTAAAATATTTGAAATTATTTGAATAATAACTAACAGACTATATATTTATAGCCTTATACTTAATATATTATGTATATGTATTTGGGTTAAGACTGTCGACATAATGATTTACAGTTTTTTTTATAAATTATTAA